AGGGTTTTTTTTGTGGTTAGGTGGGTGCTAGGCACAGTCTTTGTGTTACTTATGCCCATGGTTATATTTTATGTTGTATTGTACTGTTGTCAATAGTACTATGTAATGTCCATATAAGCTGTATAGAGCTTGAATGTCATAGTTGAAGCTGTGTTATTGTTTTAACACTGGAATTGCATGTTTAAATGTGTAAAGGCTTACATGTGTTGGATTTTGAGACTAAGTTTATTCTTATGGTTTTGTAGTAATTTTGTATGTCTTTGTGACTTTTCTATATCACCATTGTTATGTAATACATATTGTTATGTAACTGAACCATTAGGACAATTACATAAATTAATGTTGGATCATTGCTGTGTGACTTTCGATTAGGCACCATTCATTGTTTATAGTATGTTAGGTTGTAAATAGTGGGGTGGTTGGATAACCACGGAGGGGGGGGGGTAATATGTCTGTATAATATGTTCAGTGCAATGCATTGTATGGTCTGTAGTCGATTATTAAGTACCATTTCGAGGGATGTGTATATAAAAGTGTTGTTCATATCATGTAATTCTGTTGGGTAGCTCCAACAGGTTTGGGTTAAGTGATAGGATGAGGGAGCAGGGAGGGGGGGGGGGTGTACCCACACGGAGTTGTAAGTGTGGTGTGTAATATTAGATGTAGGGAGGATTGTGTTAATTATCGACTTAAATGAGTTTTACATATTATATTTTGTAATGTCATGTTTTAAATAAAATATATAAAAAAAAAAAAAAAAAAAAAAAAAAAAAGATGGCTTTTATATTTGTTTTTACATAATTTGTTTTCCATCACTTTTGTAATGTTATTAAGTTTCGTTGCTGATGCAACGTATGTTGTAAAAATCTTGTAGTTGTTGATGCTTTATACGCTTATGCAGTTTTGTGTAATGCTTATTGTTGTTATAGAGTAATGTTGACGGATAATTACCAGACTTTGTTCTTAAGTAAAATCTCATAAACAGTTGTATGTATATATAAAGTTACAAAAATTTATGTTTGATCACTGCTGTGATCAATACGTGTGTGAATGATGTGGGTGTATTTATAGATGAGTTTTCATGGGGGGGGGGGTTCCCCCCTCCAACAGTTTTGTGTGTATGTGTCAGATATATTATCATTTTGTATAATGTGTGTCAGTGCATGGTGTGTATGTATTTTGCATGTTTCAAATTTTTTTCTCTTGTACTTGTGATATAATTCTTCGTAACCTATTCCAGATCCTCTATTATTGTGGTATTTAATATTTTAAACTACCTTGTAATTTATGATGTTTTAAATAAAATATATATATATATATATATATATATAAAACCTCTGTTGATGCTCTACTTAAGTGTAAGACTAAGGTAGCAAGTTGTGTGCATATAAATAAGTGAAGGTTGCATACACTAGCCTGTTACTAGCCAGACTCAGGCTAGTTGCCAGGGGAGGGGGTAATGTAGGTTGACTTTCTGGTAACTTTGGTTAAATAATTGTATTAACAGTAACAACCCTTGAGGGGTGAACACTACTGTACCTCGTCAGAAATGTTAATGCTGAAACGATTGATGGAGACATCTTCGTCCTGTGGTTCCCCTGGCCCCCACCAAGGGTCAGGTTCAAGGTGGGGAAGTGGAGGCTCCTCCATCATCTCCTTCACCTTGTATGACACTACCACCACCACCAACCCCACCGCCATGAACCGTGACCATGACATCTGCAAATGAAACCAAGATTTGGATGCTGCTACCTTGGGTCAAGCATAGTTCATGGCTCAGTGGTAACACCTTTGGCTCTAATAATATCTTTATTTACTACAAGTACATGTACAAGGTATACAGACTATAGCTGACATCAATGACATATAGAAAGCCGCTGGAAGACAAATCCAATTCCCTAGATCAAGAGCCCCTCACCAGCGTCTAGGAACCTCCCTTGAGGGGAAGAGAATGCATCGTGCATGAAAAATGTATAGTTTTCCACATATACTGTGTTAGTTTTATTAATGAAAGAAGTTTTTGTAAAATATCTTTGATCACAACAGTCACGGTGCTTTACTAGGTTACTTTAAATTAAATCAATATATTGTACTTTTTACCTGTCTATAATGTGTGCGCCTTCAAGACCAGGTAGTTAAAAAAAATTGTTAAGAACACTAAGCCTAAACCAAATTAATTTGTTTACTTGCTTACCTCCTTGCTTAAAAGCTGGTCACTCGTACTTAAGAGAAAAGGTTGAGTTATTCTGGCCTCTGAAGGTCCTGATTGGCTTTTTTTAATGAGTTGGAAAAAATGAAGTACAGCTATTCATGCAATAATGTTGCAACCGATTACCTTCAACCAGGCAACTTGTGAGCGCCTTCAGACGCTCAGACTAATGCCGGTGTATTTTAGGCTATTGGTCCCTTCAAGATAAGAGAATGCCTCTTCAGTTTAGCTTCAAAACTGGTGTTCCTCAGTGGAAGGCTTGAATTAAAATTGGGCTGTGTATATCCCACTTGCCTTTTTTTTTTTTTACAAAATATGGATATTAGTTTCGATATAATTAGTGAATTCCTCTTCCGATTTCTGTCAAATCTGCATTGGCAATATTTGTCTGCATTACAAATTTATGCAACACTGCTCTATTACAATCACGTGCCTTAAGGTATAGAAGACTGGGGTTATGCAGTATGGGGATACCCGAAATGCTCTGCATAACCAGGGGCTTTATAGTATGTCACTGATGTCAGCTATGGTCTGTATAAGTTGTATCATGTACTGGTAGAAACAATGATTATTATTTCTCGGATCACACTGCGGCCGAAATATGTCTAAATAGATAAGACGACTGACTTGTGACGACCTACCAGATTCTAAGTCACGGAGTCAACAATATGCTTCCTCTATAACCTTACTCAAAGTTGTTCAACATAACTGTAGTTCCATATACCTTTGATGAATGAACTGAAAGTTAGATAAGCAAGCCAGACAGGTAGTGGAGAGAACGGTGTAATGAACCTGCGTCCACCGCGTCCCAGCACCAAATAAAATATTATCCGCCTCATTGGATGTGTCCAGTAACATCTGGCACTCCTAGAGCCATAAGGGTGATTGAGCTATATAGTGCAATATAACTTTACCTTTTAAAGGTGTATGAACTAGTACCGAACTTGCACACGAAAATCACTCATAATGAAAGCAAAAGACTCGGCAGACGATGCAACATCCCCCCAATGAAAAGCAGGGTTGTCACTAGCACGTTAAGAGACAATACAATAAGTGTCAGGGGCCCGAGACTGTTCAACTGCCTCCCAGCATACATAACGGGAATTACCAATAGACCCCTGGCTGTCTTCAAGCAGGCACTGGACAAGCACCTAAAGTCGGTACCTGACCAGCCGGGCTGTGGCTCGTACGTTGGATTGCGTGCAGCCAGCAGTAACAGCCTGGTTGATCAGGCTCTGATCCACCAGGCCTGGTCACAGACCGGGCCGCGGGGGCGTTGACCCCCGGAACTCTCTCCAGGTAAACTCAAGGTAGACCGGTAAGCCAGCCGAAGGCCTCGGTCAGATGACCAAAAGCTATAGCTGTGAGTCATCATATGACTAAGACCTGCGTCAGGAAATACTTGTCCTGTTTCCTGATGAACCTTACCTAACCTAACCTGTGTGTGCATTCTCAGTGCAACCTCGACCTTACTGCTCTCTTCACAGTTGCCTTGACAGCTACATTATTGATCAATGGTAATCTGTACACCTCTCCTCAAAGGTGTTGCTTTAATAACTTTAATTGGTCTGTTGCTCGTGACCATGATAACGATCATTTTCCTTGTCACATTCTGAAACCGATCGCCTCATCACTCCTGTTCAGAGTTTGAATGGGCAGATTGGGAATTTTATTCATGCTAGTTTACTAATTTGCTGTAAAAGTTATTTGGCTGATGTGCACCTCACGCAATATGCTCGGTATTATGCTCACCCTGAGGTCCTTCTCCCCGAGTGAGGTTTGTATAATTTGCCATAAGGTGGTAGCTGCAGTGATGTACAACCCGCACAGAACTGCAGGAGGCGAAGAGAGCAGCAGAGCAATGGTAAACACATAGCCGAGGTGACCAGAAGAGCTCATATGGGTAGAGCAGTTACTAGTTATGGGTGATTTCAATCACAAGGAGATTGACTGGGAAAACCTGGAGCCCCATGAGGGTCCCGAAATATGGAGAGCCAAGATGGTGGATGTGGTACTGGAAAACCTCGATGCGTCAACATGTTAGAGACACTGCCAAAGGGGGAGAGAGAGAGAGAGAAGAGAGAGAGAGAGAGAGAGAGAGAGAGAGAGAGAGAGAGAGAGAGAGAGAGAGAGAGAGAGAGAGAGAGAAATGATTAGCAAGACTGACCTAGTATTAGTTTTAGTAGTTCGGGCATCGAGGATATCACGTTGAGCTACAAGTGGAGAGGGTAGCACGAATAGGACGGAAAAATCCAAACTACAGAAGGGGTGGACTACACAGGAATGAGGAACTTCAGGGAGTTGTCGGGGAAAAAAATTGTAGCTCTTTTGTTTACCGTCCGATTTCCTCCAGTTTTGGTGCACAAGACAAAGTGTTTTCACACCGTGTAAAATATATTTGTCAAAAATATACCTCAAACAACAACTGAGAAAAGACTGAAAAAGGAATGATTTACAGAAAATGCCCTTTGGCAGGAAGGTAGTCCTACATGGGACGACGTAAGGTTGTTTGGACACTTGATGCCGAGAGAACAATGCTAATACTAATTTTCCGCGAGACCTTGCCTCTAAATAACTTCTTTATTTCAAAAAAAAAAAAAAAATAAAGTTTGTTAGTTCTTGGAATGTTGAAAAAAATCTGCCCTTTACTCCCACATAAATCCCAAAGTATTTGGAATATTTCCAAAATTCTCTCTGCATTAATTAGAGAAATCATTATTTTACCATTTCTGTGAATGTTATTCCACTTAAGTAATAAAGGCGTACCTTAGCGAAATAAGTGAATAAACTACTTCCGAGATATTGGCCTGAAGCGCCGGCCGGCCCATCCCCCCCGTCTCGAAAAAAAAAAAAAAAATCGCGAAAATGGCGTTTGTGTATTTCTTAGTAAACTGATGTTCTAGTGCAGTTATCCTCTTCAAAACACCGTTTTCTCTTACTCAGAGACCAAAGAATACGACATGAGAGGATTCACTCATTTATATCGAAATAATCCCGATTTTCTCGCGCCATATTATGGATTATTTTATTCAGTCTAGAGTATATAACATGTTTGTATGTTATTTATAGTGTTTATTACGATCATATTAGATAAATTCTGATAAATAAATAAGCTGATATAAGCGTAATAATGAAGTGATTTCTCCTGGCACTCTGGAGCTGGAACACTGCCGAGTGTTCCCAGATGGTGCCTGGTTGTCTCTAAGTGTACGGATAAGCTCCGCCTACTGTTTTATGATGCCAAATAGTCAATTATATTATATTAGAAAGAATAATGCAAGAAAAAACGATAAAAAACAAGGAAAAAATTCCAAAATATATATAGGCTGTGAGCAGACGCGCTACCCATATCACGTCACCATACCTGATATAAATGACTATAATTTCTTGTAGAAACGTCGTAGATTTGGGCCCAAATTGGCAAGTACTGCTGCAACAACATGCAAGGAACCTATAGTGACATAAAAAACTGACGGTGACGACAACGAAATGGACTAAATATGACAAAAGAGGGACCGGCATTCAAGTACCAGACCTGCTGCCAGACGTGAACCAGACATGAGACGTTTTCCACTACAATGAAATAACTGACCTCCATATCAACTGCACCAGTGTTTAACGGGAAGACAACATGGCAGAAAACCTGATCAACTAAATCTCCAAGGAAATGACAGGTCTGTAGGACTTTTTTCTTCAGTGCCAAACGAAGGAAAGATTTCAGCATTTAAACATGGCTGACCGGCATCCAAACAGTCGCTACTGCCAGACGTACAACTAGCGAAGTGAAATTCTCATCTTTACTGACGTTCATCTGTTGACAGTAGCATCATATCTGTACCACCATCATATCACCTGTACCAGTGCTAACGAGAGGGAAACACAGGAGACATCGTCAAATCAACAGTACAAAACTCCAAGGTTATAGGACGGTTATCCCTCAGTGCCAGTCGTGAGAAAGAAGTGAATAGTTAAACAGTCAAGGTTAATGTTTTAGTAGCTGACTATATTCAGCTGACCAGTGTACAGTGAGAGAATCATAGCAGAAAACGCCAAATATATCTATACACTTAAGGAAAGTCAGGTTGTAGGTGGCGTTACTCCCCTCAGTGTTTTAAAAATGGTTGAGTCAGCAGAACAGGTCAGGAGACAACAACACCACACAACCCCCGATAAATGGAATTGAGGGGGATTTGGAAGGATAAAACCATGGATTAAACCTTTCTGATCTACCAGAATGGAAAGGAGTTAGAAGTTAATTGGGGAAGCCAGACTGTGAAGTGAGATGGGAAGCAGAGTGTGTAATAAGGGGTTAACTGTAAGGGGTTTGTGAAGTTAAGGGAAAAGTGAGCAGTGAAGAGGGTTTTGAAGAGGAAATTTACTAGTAATTCAGTGGTGATTGCTAAAGCAGATACTAAGTGTACTAGGGACTGGAAAAGAGAAATAAATATTATTGTATATGAGTAAAAGAGCGAAGAGTGAAAATGGCAGGCATTAGGGGGGTACAGGCTGCCATAATTATATTTATCTTTCTTCTTCAATTCCATGAAGAAAGAAATCAGTCATGGGGGCTGGAAAAGGTGAATGGAGTAACAGCGCCCTGGACAGTAAAAGCCCAACAGTTGCCATCCTACCAGAAAAGTAAATGTCACTATCTCCGCAAGGTATGGCAACACCGCATACCCAAACAAAAACAATGGCACACAGCTCTTATTGTAGCGCTCTTAAGTGGTGATATCCAAATTAATCCAGGACCTCAAACTATTGTGCAGAGGCAAAACAGACAGCCACAAAATTTGATTAACACAAGCCTATCCGATGTTATCCTGACGCCAAATGACTTCGAACAGGCGATAAATGACATGCCCATGCACTCTGCCCCAGGGCCAGACTCATGGAACTCTGTGTTCATCAAGAACTGCAAGAAGCCCCTATCACGAGCCTTTTCCATCCTATGGAGAGGGAGCATGGACACGGGGGTCGTCCCACAGTTACTAAAAACAACAGACATAGCCCCACTCCACAAAGGGGGCAGTAAAGCAACAGCAAAGAACTACAGACCAATAGCACTAACATCCCATATCATAAAAATCTTTGAAAGGGTCCTAAAAGCAAGATCACCACGCATCAGAAACCCATCAGTTACACAACCCAGGCAACATGGGTTTTAGAACAGGTCGCTCCTGTCTGTCTCAACTATTGGACCACTACGACAAGGTCCTAAATGCACTAGAAGACAAAAAAGAATGCAGATGTAATATATACAGACTTTGCAAAAGCCTTCGACAAGTGTGACCATGGCGTAATAGCGCACAAAATGCGTGCTATAGGAATAACAGGAAAAGTCGGTCGATGGATCTATAATTTCTCTCACTAACAGAACACAGAGAGTAGTCGTCAACAGAGTAAAGTCCGAGGCAGCTACGGTGAAAAGCTCTGTTCCACAAGGCACAGTACTCGCTCCCATCTTGTTCCTCACCTTATATCCGACATAGACAAGGATGTCAGCCACAGCACCGTGTCCTTCCTTTGCAGATGACACCCGAATCTGCATGACAGTGTCTTCCATTGCAGACACTGCAAAGCTCCAGGCAGACATCAACCAAAATCTTTCAGTGGGCTGCAGAAAACAATATGAAGTTCAACGATGAAAATTTCAATTACTCAGATATGGTAAAACATGAGGAAATTAAATCTTCATCAGAGTACAAAACAAATCTGGCCACAAAATAGAGCGAAACACCAACGTCAAAGACCTGGGAGTGATCATGTCGGAGGATCTCACATTCAAGGACCATAACATTGTATCAATCGCATCTGCTAGAAAAATGACAGGATGGATAATGAGAACCTTCAAACTAGGAGGCCAAGCCC